TTTTGAGGGCTTGAACCACTTTCAAAGCACTTTTTGAGGGCTTGAAATAGTTTGTAATCACTTTTTGAGGGCAAGAATCAGTTTGAAATCACGTCCGCAAAAAGGGGTTTCAACATCGCGCTGCAACCGTGTATTCGAATAAGTTTCCAATCACTTTTCAAATCACTTTTCAACATCACTTCTGCGAGTTGCGCAAATCACTTCAAAATCACTTTTTTCGAGCAGCAATTTCACTTTTGCGAATGAATGAATCACTTTTCAACATCACTTTTGCCCAGTGCACGAAAAATCCAAATCACTTTTTCAATTCACTTTTAAATCACCTTTCTTTGCAGAAAGAAATTCCTCCAAACCATTCCAACGCCAGGCTGCCTCGGACCTCCCAGGAGTATCGCCCAGCGGAACCTAACGGATTCCCCAAGAGTTTGCCCTTGTGGATATGAGGGACGAGAGCTCGTTAAAGCCCAACACCGGCAGAGCAATGGTAACTGACAGGTTTTGAAATCTACTCCTCCATAGAGCCCGTGGCTAGTGCGTCATAAGTGGGTTGGTGAGAAGGCGAGGAAACACAAACGGCACAGAGCCTTCGACTCGATGAGCACCTCCCACCCGGTGCAATGGGGACAGTGCCGTGTTTCTCTATTTCCTGCATCCTTTGCTCAGCTTTGGTCTTCCACGGCGCTGGGATACATCGCTTGGCTGCAGAAGGGTGGCACAGATGACTGCTGTGTTTGCCTTGATCCGTTGCTGATCCCTCGTGCTCTTAGTGTTGTTAAGTACCAATTATACCGACCCCCCTTGGCTTCTTTGGGGCTCAGTTCATGAAGCATTTTCATAGCAAGGCAGGCACCACTGGCGCACCGGAGCATCTCGAACCCTCCGGCAACAGCGAGCAAAACTTCCCCTTGGCCAGACAGAGTGCTTCTACGCGTAGAATGTCGATGGGAGCAGACCTACGGCAATCTGCAACTGCAAAACAGTATCAATGGGGGACGTCGTGACAGTTTCACCAGAAGCTTCCCGAGCTCTGATGAAGGCTTCAGCTAGCACAACAGGCCAAGGATTCGTTTGACAAGAAGAACAACAACAGGTGTCGACGTGTAAAAGCGGGGCAGACCTGTGCCTCTATTTGTGCATGATTCTGCATTCCGCTTCAGTCCCAAACAAAGCCTTTGTCACGAGTCACCGATGGCCTCCGGGCGTGTGTCAAGAATCGTACTTCTTCGGACAGTGAGAGCAGGTGTAGTGGTCACCTGCTCGCAAAGAAACAATGCCTCCGCGGCCCTTCACATGGATGTTCCGTGTTCATGGCTTTTCGTGTCGTGAGTTTGACACTGGCCTCGTAACCCTCCCAAGCCATATGCAGTTCAGATGCAACCGGACTGGTCGGATTTGTCTTGCTTGGCTTGCGGCAATCTGCGAATGGCTGCGGTCTGGTGCCGCATGGAGGCATTTGGAGGCCACAGGCCACATGTGCCTTCTGCCGTCGTCTCTGCCAAGAAAGTGGAACGGAGTGGAACGGGGAGTACGTTTCAGTCTGAGATTTGGTGGTGTAGCGGTGTGTAGCGTGGTGTCTTCACATTCATTGCATCTTGAACACCAAATGTGCTCGGTGACCTGCTGGCACCCGGGTTTTGAAGGCGAGTGTCTCGCGCTTGGCGGGATGTGCTGGAGCGGCGTCGTGGGTCCGGAAACCTGCCCTCTGGCCTGTCCGGCTTAGGTTGAGCATTCCACCTTCGCATCATTGGGTTGAGTCAGCATGCGGCAGGCACGACTCTTTCACAGACAGCTCTGGTAGGCCGCCACGTGTGGAGTGGCTCGCTGGCCTCGGCTTCATCTGTGTCTTCCTTGGCATGCTGCTGGGCAGCACTTGTGCCGGGATTTGGTGTCCACAAGTTCGTGAAACGTCAGATGATGCGGTTCTGACCTGTATAGAGTAAAGTGGACCGCGCGAGCGGGGCTCGCCCTGCTCGGCTCCGGCAGTTGTGCAGTGCAGATGTTGCAGCAAAACAGTGTTTTTTCGTTTTCAAGATGTAGGACACTTGTCTCAGTATGTCGCAGTGGGTTGAGATTTCACTAATAGGTTCCACGGCTTGAGATTCGAGTAGTTGCGTTTCCATCTCGTCCCTTGGGCTGTCCTGAGGATCCCCGTCGTCTTCATGCGCAGGGGGGCCCGGGCCTGGCTTCGACTGTCATGAAAAAGCGCCAGAAACGAACTAAGACTTTCTGAAGGCCTCTGGAGCAAGCCAGTTTGAATTACATGTGCATGTAGGGATGATGATGGTGATGTTGATGACGATGCTCTCTGTTGGCTCTGTTGCAATGTCACTGGTTTCTGTCAAGGAATGCAGGAGCAGAGGAATCCAATGCCAGCATTCGATGTGTGGCAGTTCTCACGACTTGAGACGACTTGAGACAAGGACAGGGCAATGATCTTGATTGAAGGGCATCGGCTATGGCCACGTTATGCAACGTTCCATCGAGCTACTGCGTCCTGGTGCTCTGAGGCGACAAAAAGGAGGCCTCCTCCAATTCCGCCGCCAGCCCACCGACGGAGACAACGAGCACGGGGGCTCAAACTCCTGCGTTTAGATTCGCTGCCCCAGAAAGGCAAATAGGCTTGTGCTTTCTGTGAGATCATGCTCGTTGAGTGTTTGCATGCGACGGTACTACGCGAACGGCACACTCATGAGGAGTGGCGCGAAGCAGCAAAGCCACGCGTTAGTTATCTCGCAGTTCGGATGCTCCCGCGCCGGTCTCCTGTGGCTAACGCAGCCGTGAGGTTTGGAGACACTTTTCCGACAAGAGCTGCAGGAAGGCCACTGCCTGCGGGTTATGACCTGCTAAGATAGCTTGCCAACATTCACGGGGTTCAATGTGCCGAACTAGAAACCAAGGGTCTGTTTCCTACCCGGAGCCAAGGTTTTGAGTTGGAGCGTGGAGGTGTCCGATGGGTGTGATGAGCTTGGACATGTCCCCGAACAGGCTCCGGCTCGACGTCTCCGAACCACACCTGGACCCTTCCGGAGGCTACGCTCGAAGCAGCCTGATTTTCCTGCGAAGCGCAGTGAGCACCGCAGGTCCTCCAGGTGGCCCAAGAGTCCTTTGCTGCAGCCAATGCGCTGACTTGGGACGGTGCGGGACTCGTCTGCAAAGGTTCTGCAGTGTGAGGCTCGTGCCCGCTCCGCCCATAAGCTCCACTAGTGAAGAATGAGAGGCTGTGAGAGGGGTGCGAGACGAGTGCGAGACGATCGAAGCAGCTGCCTGAGCTGGAAGGCACCATAGGACGACCCGATGCCCAACAGCTGCGACGCCTCCGATTTGCATCGGACCCACTGAAGTTTCTTGGACTTGAACTGGGATTCTGAGATGGAATGTTTTTGCCTCCACGAGGTGGCAAAACACATTGTCAGGCCTAGGTGCATGTGAGTGCCTGGCTTGGGCCGGCCGCCTCCGAGGCTCGATAGCCTTGGCTGCTCCGGTGGACTTCCCATCGCCGCGTCGCCCCTCCTCGAGGCACTGTTGGAGGGTGGGTAATCGCTTCGCTTCAGAGCTCCGCTCGTCACAGAAAAACTTCCTTTGAAGTCCGCTCTTCCCCGTGCGCCGAGGAGGCCCAGGCCCAGCCGGCTCCAAGCGCGGGCCGGGCCTGGCTCAAAGGCTGGCTGCTGTCTCTGGTCGGAGACCTACGGGGGCGCCTTGCATGTCCCTGTGAAGAGAAGCATGGTTCCGGACACTCGTGGGCATCGGAGAGAATGCTCTTTAGGTTCCAGGTTCGATTTGGTGAGTAATTATCGGCTTTTCGCGCTCTGTTTGCGAGAGCACCACGAATTGGCAATAGTTGTTCCGCAGCTGGCCACGACCCCTTCAGGTCACCGGATTGGTGTTATCTCTTCAATACGAGCCCATGCTGCCGTGGAAGCACCTGAGATGCACGCAGAAGGGGGGGGGGTGGGTGGGAGTATGGTCTGTGGGCCCACTGGTATGGGTCCCTGTTTTGGATGGCTTTGTTGACCCCTCAAGTTCAACCCAACATTCGGGGTTTGGGACTTTAGGCTTTGCAAAGTGAGCTGCAGGTTCATCAAAGGAGTTTGGTCTAGGACTAAACCCTAAACTCCGCAACGCTTCCCTTCGATTCAGGGCATGCCGCCCAGATTCATGTGAGGTGGTGTTTGTTTTGGACATCCAATGTTTACGAGTCGAGTGCACCAGTACTCTGCTTTTTGAGACTTTCCCGAAAGAAGGAGATTTTGCCAGAGACGGACGTGTTCCGGCGGTGCCCGTTGTGCTTCAATTCTGTGGGACGGTCTCGAGCCTTCCATGCTCAGGAAGAACGAAATAACTTTGCTGGGGGAGTTGACGAGTGAAAGCTTCTGCCCCAGCGACTGGCAGGTTCTAGCAGAGCACAGTCGCGACCAGTGGCACGAGCACAGAAGTATCCGTCCTACCTCTTTCTACTGACCTTGAAGGGTAGGTGCCACATCCTCAACTGCCAGCCACTCGCACGGCGCTTTTGGGAGTTCAGTGATTTTCAGTATTGGGTCTGCCAAAGGCATCCTGAGATCCTGAGACCTGGGCAGGCAAAGCCTTGAAGCGCGCGGCTTCAAGCCATCCGGGGTGGACTACGCCTTCTCCAATTGCCTAGGCTCAAAGCCTTTCCTCAGACGTCATGTTCTGGAATGTTCTGTACGTGCGCTAAGCCGCTAAGCCTCAGCTGCAAGTTTTAACGGCAGCTGCAATGGCTCAGTGTAATCGTCAGGTCCCACTCTGCTGCTTGGATTCACTCCGTGCAGATGTGTCAGCCGTCCTTGTGCATCCACTTCAAAGCTCCAATTTTTCCTGCACAGGGCTGGTTCTGCATGAGAGCCCTGAAGATAAAGTGATTTGCTCATATTCTCTCACATGGCTTCGGTTTCACCGTGGCTTCTGCGGAGGCATTTTTCTCTGCTCCACGGCCTACCTGCTCATCGCAGGCGGCTGGAAGAGGCCCGGTGTCGGTATCGAGCTTCGGTCCTATTTTGAAGAGTCGGGTCTTGGGCCTTGGCCTCGGGGTGACAAATGCTGGTGACTTCGCTGCTTCAACATTCATTCAAATGCTGTCTGAAGTCGCAACCAAGCGTTCGTGCGGATCGCAGTCACTGTATACGTACCGTATCCCGAAAATGATGGATTCGGGATGCTTCCTGTTGGTCTCGGATTCGGTGATAGTTTTACTTCTTGTTTCTTTGTTTTGCGACGGAAGTGGGGCGGCAGAAACGGATCAAGGCCAAGGCTGCGACAGAGACCCCAAACCCGGTATGCCGACGCCGAAGGCTCACGCGGCAACCCCTGCAGAAGCCGGTTCTGCGGCCTGCGCTGTTGGCCGGTGTCATGTGGACCCTGCGACCTGGCCTGAACTTCTCTGTGCTTTGCTTGTGGTACTCGTAGCAGTCCAGTGGGCCGCTGCCGTGTCGGTCGAAGCTTTATATTGTTAGCTTTTGCTCCCACTATATCCTGATGGGAAGCTGGTGGCGCCAGTACTGTCACATCGCATATGACACGACATGAGTTTGCTGCTGTGGCGAGCAATACCAAAAGTACGAATTCTGCGGCACGGTCTTTGGTCCAATGGGCAAGGAGGCTGGCAGATCTTATGGCAATCTGTCAATCGTTTCTCGAAGTCGGGCAAAAAGCTGATGTCGAACAGAAGAGTAAGGGCTGCGAGACGCTCTGCTGTTGTGCTCCGGTTCTTCGAGATGTCGAAGCCGCACGTGCTTTCTCTCCGATTCTACCCGAGGGCCTCTTACTTTCAGCTCTACGCCATGACGCAGCTGCCGCACCTGGGGTAGACGAAGTGAGACTAGCGCATAGGACTAGGTTGCACGCTTTCGAAGAATGGTTGACACAATCCCGATCCACGGTGCCATCTTGTCGGAAGACAGAGGATAACTGCAAGCCTGGTTGTTGAAGACTACTCTTTGCTGTGCTTTGTAGAGTATCGGAAAGCAGATTGCTTGCTTCATGGGAGGGTTCAAAGTTCAGATGTGCCCCTGTGACGGAGGTATGCAGTTGCATACTGCTTGATCGTGGGTGGAGGACTCGCTGTGAGCCTGCTTTGGGGCACCCTCTTGTTTGGGGAGGCCGATCATGAATTTCGGACCTTCTTCACTTATCCTTACTGAATTTCAGCAAGTACACATGGGCTGTGGACATGTGGCCGATTGCAGATTTGCAGAGAGATGCATGCACAGATGAACATGATGCTGCCGTTGCATACGGACATATGAAAACGAATTTCGGTAGATAGATGGATGGATGGATAGAGACAGACAGACAAATAGATAGACAGACAGACAGATAGATAGATAGATAGACAGATCAACAGACACCCTTGACAATATAAACGGCTCGAACGATGGATGCATTCACTCTCAAGACTTCAAGCAGACAGGTTAGGGCATGCCCGTCGGTCAGGCTGCTGATTTGCTGAGGTTCCTACACGCCGGAGCCACTTCTAACCTGTTTGGGCTCGGCTGCCCCTTCTATTGTACGAGCCCTTCTTTGGGATCGCTGCTGGCAGGTTTTTTGCCAGGGCCGTGCGCGCGTGCATGCGCGCATTGGCGCCGTCTCAGAAAAAGGAGGCTTCCGCAAGCGGTGTGATATGAGGACATATCTGTG